TCTGCAGTGATTTGGGCCTCAACACGGTGGACAAGGTCGGCATAAGGACGAATTGTCTCCCGCATCAGTGATGAGTAGAAGGGTTCTGGGCGAAGCCCCCCAAGGAAAACCCCCCTAAGTAACTCTGGATCTACTCCTGAAATTTGACGGGCTTCAATAGAAAACCTGCGGAAGTAGTCTTTGAGTAACTCTCATTCATTTTGACAAATTCCCGAGAGATGAAGAGATGAGATGAATCCTTGATGATCCTTCGATTTGCGATGAACTGCTCTGTGAAAAGTTTGACAAACTCGTTAAAGGTGTTTACTGTGCCCCTTGACAAAGAGTAGAACCAGATTCAAGCTTGTGTTTTAAGAGTATTAGGGAACACTTAACACAAAAGTGCATCAGAGGCACGTTGAAGGTGCATGATGGTTCGATAATGATCAATATGCTCGGCTCGTAAGGGTCGGTTGTCCCTTCATATGTATCGATGCTCGGAAGCTTAAAGCCTGTTGGGATGGGGTGTTGGAGGACCGTATTCGTTAAGGGAGATGATTCATGTATGTTGCAGTGAGTATAGAAACGATCCTTTTTCTATAGGGGAAACTCTTCTCGGACGAGGCGTCGTAGTTCATTACGAATGACATCATCTGAAATGACAGGAAGATGTGGCGATGTCGGACGAGCTGCACGAGATGGATGAGTGGAACTCGCGGTATCTAGGAGTTCAACATCACGACCTAACATGGGATGTGTTCCTTCTTGAGGAGGCGGGGCGGTACGAGTTCCTCCGAACGATATGTTTCCTGTACGCCGCGTAGTTAATGGTGTGGGCAGTGGTAAGCGAGTTTCATCCAGTGGTGTGGGCAGCGGCTGTTGAGCCCCGCGTAGGAGCTGTAGAATCTCTAATTGAGACTCCTCCATTCTACGCATTCGATCTTCTATTGAAGGACCCGAAATATCTTCATTGGCAGGATAGCGTCTTCCAGGGCAGGAAGATGAAGAAGCATGCAACCCTTGGCTTCGTGATTGCTCCCTTGAACGATGGGTGTTGGAGCAGGATGCTCCATTATCACGAACATTGTGTCTGGTTGTCATGTAGTAGACCGTGTAAGTACTTTAGTTGTGGGATTGAAACCTTCCCACAGACGGCGCCAAACTGATGTGTGCTAGAAAATTTGTGGCGGTAGAGTAATGGATTATCGTCTTAGCATTGCACGAGAATTCAACACACACTCAGATAAAAATGAATCGAGTTGTGATCGCACCAGAAGTTTTTACGTGAAAAACTCGTAAAAGAGAAAAACCACGGGGTCTGGCCAAGTTGTAAAAATTCACTATAAGATGATGATTACAGATGCCCCTTGTCCCACAAGCGGGAAATTGTTACTAGCTTTCCACGTTACAATGTTGACTGATAACGTCTAGTAAGCGGTAGTTGACGGAGGTCAACGATGGCTAACAACAGTAGATGATGGTCGACGGTAATTGACAGAGGTCAGCGGTGATTGGCGACGTTCAACGGTGGCCGGCGCGGGGGGAAGGGTGGTCGACGTTCGTTGTCGACGGTCAGTGGTGGTCGACGGCGTTCTCAAAACCTCAAGTTCTCTCTTAACCCCCTCCCCTCATGTGAGAGGTGAGGCTCTATTTATAGTATTTTGAGTGCAATTAATGCAGGAATATGAACCATTTTGATCGGACGGTCTGGAGAGCTTCCATTGATCAGATGACGTTTGATGGACATTTGAGTGTCTTAACGATGTCGAAATTGAGCAATCTTGCGTTCGTTGGTATTGAGCTTATTGGATTTGTCTTGTTGAGACGCTCGATTCGACTATAAACTTGCTAAATTTGTTAATTGTTTGTTCTTCCAAATGCCTCCGGAAATCCTCCAGTAATGGTTTAATGACTTGATCTGGGTCTGATTTGACTCGGATTGGACTAACTTTATATCATTAGGTCTGTCTCATTGAGCCGATCAGTTTGACTATAATTTTGTTGAAATCAGAGCTTCGAATGACTCTTAATAAATGTTTGAATGTCTCTTGTTCAAAAAATTGCACTGAGATTCGTGCTGATTGATGGAAATTTATTAGTGGCGTACCAAAAATCAAATATTCAGTACAGAATATTACAAAATAAAGATAGACACCTCACTTAACAGTGGATAGCATGACTACCAAAATTAAGAAAAAAATTATTAAAACAATAATAAATAATATAATAATATTATTTTTAAAATGCAGACCGCATATGTCACAAGCTAAGTCATCCTCCAGGGATACTCTCCATGTCCGATCACTCGGCGGTGGAATCTAACAGTCTATCTGCCCACGGAATACATGTTAATGATCCTTGTCCGCCCTATGGAAGTCGATGTCGTTGCGTGAAGGACGACGCCGAATATAATTGTAGAGAGTAATCGTGGCACTCACAATCTGCACATATTTGGAAAATGATTAAAATAGAATGTCACGAAATATAACTCATTTCTTTTTCCAAACATCAAAAGTCTTCTCAATAACACCGCGTAAGGATGAATATCTTTTGTTGAATTTTTTTTCCTATCCCAGCCGATATTGTTGGCTCACTCAAAATCAAGTATGTTTTATCTCGTATCAGGATAGGGCTTGACATACCCTCGTTGCAATGAATATACATCATCGACCAAATAGTATTTATCAGATGTGAATTAAATGAATGGTGTTGAAGGAAAAAAAAATTAGAAGAGTAGATTAATCTCAAGCGAACCTATAGGTGGATGTGAGAAGTTATATTTGTTATTTCATGTTGCAGATTTGAATATTCGACCGTCGTGTGCACTGTTCTCCCAACCAGCTACGACAAAAGTGAAGCACGTGTTATAATTGCGTGTTGTCATGACATTTTGTGTCGAGGACACAAAATGGCTAATGAATGCGGTTTCATTATTTAGAACATGTGCATCAACGTGTGTCTCATCGATTGCTCCAATACAATTCTAGAAGAATAACAAAGAGTTACCTAATTACGATATTTATATGAAAATTGAATGCAATAAATAGAAGAAATTACCTTTTTAGTGTGACGTATACTGTGCATCGTGTGAAATCTCTGTTGAGATCCATTTGAATATAGGATCTGTTGGCTTTATGACTTGTGAAGAAAAGTTACAAGTGCATTCAACCCTATTGAGAAGTATCTGCAAATCGTTTCGGAAGAGTGTTGAAATCACTTCATAACTCGTCGCACTGATTCATTCTACGATAATATGTAAATGTTTATTGTTAAATCGTTCTAGATGAGCTATGAAGTTCATGATTTTTGTGTAATTTCTCCAACAGATCGGTGAATATCATCTGTGTCATGAGGAACATATTGTTAAATCTCATTGGATGGCCCTCAAGCAACTCTCCAACTCATTTATCGCCAACATATAAGGATATCATGTAATGAAAGCGCTCTATATACGACTTATAGTAATCGTACATCCTGCATACTGCGGTTGCAACTCTCCTTTAGCACTTTTCTCTAGTTGCATTCATGTATTTAGGTATCAAAATGACTAACACAAACATCAATGAATTAGTTGCAATCATATAAGGTTGTGACAAAACCAAAAAAAAAAAATATTACAAAAGTAAATATAAAACATAACGAGAAATGAAAAACTTAATGGTAAAGTGACATGTTCAAAGCAGCATAAATATCCAAAGTAGCACAAAAAATCATAAACAAATAGAAATGTGCAAAGTAAATAAACAAGTAACAAATATGAAATGTACCACAAGAATCTAATAAAAAAATGTGTCCCTCAAATATCACTGTTCCGATGAAAAAAAGGTAGGTGAGCCAACAAACGGACAACAAGCTTCGTTATGAAAAACTCTCTTCGGGTGGAATCTTCAAGCAACTTCATAGAGAACACTATAGTGACATGTCCTCATAAATTTCTCGAGTTGCATCCAAAATTCATATAGCCTGATGGACAAAAGTTGTTTGTGATAGGCCAAGGTCATTGGCGCATGAAGCCACCAACTTTGAGATCTGACTTCTAAAGAAAGTGGCTTCCTCTTTTTTTTTCAACCCGGGGACATTTTGACCGGCCCGTGGACTAACTTCATGAAGGTCTGGGTCTTCATTGGAATCACCTAATTGATCGACTCCCAAATTTCTGGAGATGCCACCAGACCCCGACTCACTCGGGGCACATGCATTGTTACCAGTTATCATGACACCTCCAAACATATGATCCAACTTCTCTTCCGCTCAAGATCAATTCCATTGTATTTGATTTTTTTTACCGCAAACAAATTCTCATAATATATTGATGGATTTGAAAATAAATTAAAAACTGACAAAAATATGACATTTCAAAAATGCTCACTACTAATATCTCTATCCACCACCCCTCGGAAGTATCAATCGTTCGTTTTACCAGATCCTACTCCAAACTTGTTGAACCTCGTTTCAATTCCTTCCAGATTTGACAATACTTCTTTAGCTCATCTCACTTATTTTTTAACTACATACTATCACACTCTCTGCATTTGTTTTCATTAAATTTTCTAATAATATTTTGATAGTCTTGTTGAAATAGGTTGTCGACCTATTTCCCAGTTCGACCTCCTTGAGACAAAGTATATATATATACATATATACATATGCATACCTGCCAAGTCTCAACTTTGTTTGCTAAATTTGATGGCACACAAAAAATGAAGTTTAAGGAATAACAAACACACATTACAAAACTTAAATTCCTAACCCTGAGACATCAATATTTAACATGAATGGCCTTGTGCTAGGGAATGCTAGGAGTAAAGTGATGGTACATGAAAGTTAAAGAATTTCTCCATAAGAAGGAAGAATTACATAAACTAATTGAGGAGAAAAAAGAGGGTACATGATATGATGCATAGGGTGAGCTAGGAGTGAAGTGTGCCATAATAGGTCATATGGTTTTGAGCAATCTTGTTAGATGTCTACCTATTTTGTTTTCAGTAGTGGTAGTCAAAACTATGATTCAGCTGCCTCTAAAAGTTTAGGCTGATCAAAAGTAGGTTTTCCATTCTCTCTTGCTATATTTGGTCACCCAAACCAATTTGGGGCGTTTACATTAAAATCAAGTGCCGAAAGAAATAACCAGAGCTACCACAAGGCAACATAAAGGACCACATTAATGCTACAAGAATGCTATGATGTGAGGTGAATCAATAGATCTCTAGGGCACCTAAAAAAGTTTGCTCACCCTTCATGCACAAAAGCTAGATTGACTATATTTAATTGCACTGATTGACTGAAGCTAACTTTTTATTTATATTTTTAGGCTTCTGATTGGATGGGCCAGGTAAAAGCCTTTTAAAAAAATTAGTAAACCGGCAGCATTGGCTCGAAAAAACCGACAAGCCAATATTGAAGATGAAAATGAGGTGATCGAGTAGTAAACAAATGAGCAGCACGGAGGGCAAGCATTTTGCTCCAGAACGAGCAGTTGAAAGTAGGGTCACGTGGGGGAGATGGATGTCGAGTATGGGATATTAAGCAATGACGAAAGCCGGCGTGCAAAGCAAATGTTGAGTTGTGTGCAAAGGGCAATGATGGACGATGACAAGCAAAGTAGAAAAAATGACATTAAAGGTTAAAGTTTTATTCTCTCAATTTTCATACTTAACCATAAGTTTTTATTTAGATTTCTTTAAAAATTTAAATCCCATGATCTAGTCTTTATTTTAAAGAAAAAATTCTACTAGGTCTGGAACAAAGGGAGGAGAAAATCAATAGAAGAAAATTGTTATAAATTTATAAGAAAAATAAAATTTGGCAAAAAATTCTGGATGCATTTCTTTTATTATATATATATATATATATATATAGGGTCTTAATTGGAGGAGAATAATGCATTGGGAAGAGATGAGCAGAGATTGAACAAATGAAGCTTATTTGAGGTAAAAACAAATAAAAAAAATTTATAAATTTTATTACTCAAATTTGAAGGTAGAATTTATAATCTTATGATATAAATTATCTCTAAATTTTAGATCTAAGACATGTAGGGAATTAATAATTTTATTGCTTTTATGCCATAAATGTTTTAGAAAAAATTAAAATATTAAATA